ACTTTGGGGACACCTGCCTGGGTGGCCTATTCGGTTAAGCACTGACTTCGGCTCAGCTCATGATCTCACGGTTTGTGGGTTCAAGCCCTGCATCGGGCTCTGTGCTGACAGCTCAGAGCCGGGAGCCTGCTTCAGAGTCTGGGTCTCCCTCTCTCTCTGCTCCTCCCCTGCTTGTGTTCGGTCTCTCTCTCTCTCTCTCTCTGTCTCAAAAATAAATAAAAACATTTAAAAAAATTTTTTGGAAAGTGACTTTGGATGACAAACACCTGTAAAATAGTCATCAGACTCTGTGATTTTTGTATTACATGGAACAGACACTGGTAGCCAAGAAAACAACTTTATAAATAGCGTAATCTGTCTAGTCTCTAACGGTTAAGAACAATATATGGCACTTAGTAGGTCTAAGCAAATATCTGTTAAAGGTTCACACCGTTTCAATTATACAATCTGGACTTGAATTAGTTCCACTCAAAGCGAGTGTTTTGCTTAGGTAAGCTGTGCCTTTTCCAGTGTTAACTTAGAATAAGAATGCTTTTTGACCATCACTTGACCAAAAATAAATCTAAACGAAGTCATCATTCAATTTGTATGAGAGACTGTTGGTCCCTCCAGTGGCTACAAGGCAATCCTGTGGAATGCAGCTCTGCAGACCCTATTGACAATGGCAATGAGCATGTTCATAACAATAATAAGGGCTTGTTTTAATAGAACGTTCCACGCATTAAACACATTAATGACCCATGAAATAACTGTTTTATCTGTAACACATTAGGCAACATTGCTAAAACAATGTATTAATTGAAAGTCTATTTCTCTAAATGTAAGATTTTTTTAAAGTATAAAAACGGCATGAAAGTCATTTCGTAAAAACAAAAATAATTCACCTTCGAAACTGGAGCCACAACAAATGATGGCGTGAAAAAGTAAAACTTGGAAAATAAGCCTGGTAATTTTAGATGTGCTATTTTGCTATATTCCCATTTCTCTGGTCAAAAGTGGCATCTGTGTATAGAGTGTGACCTCAGAGTCTTATGAATATTTTAAAAGCTTTTAATTTTCTTCTGGGCATGCGTTTCTTCCATAGGACGTTTATCTCTCTTTTTCTTTTTCCTTACTAGGTACAGAGACTCCCGTACTCAAATACACCTCCCTTACTTCCATCCTCTTCTGGTCCCTCACGCTACGTTTGATATTACCAGAGCGACCAGAGTAGCGTTTTCTATAAACATGTGGTATCACAATGAAATCCAAAGCAATATCAAACTGAAAATGTCAGTCCTCTAAACATGAAATATAATGTATGAAGAAAAAGTATGTGAATTATCAGTGTGTTTTATAAATTCTCTTTTGGGGGGCATACAAAATATCAGACCAGAGACAATTATTTTACTGTCTGTTTCTTGGATATCAAAGAGAATTCTGAAATTCATCAAAGCTAACCTTCTGTTATGTACAACAGGCTCAGCTGAAAAGAATGTTAACAAGTTCAATTTTCATTCAATCAGCACTACTGCTCTCTGAAATGTTTCATTGCAGGAAAGAAATAAAAATAATCTATATGGTAATTATGAGGATGAATCCCCCAGTAACTTTCAGCTACATGAAAGGTCAGTTCTATTCAAGATATTTTATCAGTCCCCTGCACATACTCCTGTCCTGTCATTTTAAATCTGAACAGCATTTTATTTTCCCATTTACAGCTACCTGCAGAATTAAGTACTTAAGCCAAATAAGAAAAAAAAAAAAAAAAAAAAAAAAAAAAAAAAAAAAAAAAAAAAGAAATGTTGAACGCTGGCAAAGGCTATAATAGCACAGAGATAAATCGTTCAGCTGCTCTCTCTCAAGCCTCTAGGGCTGCAGATTTTTCTTCTCCTGGTGCACTGTGGGTATTCAAAACTTGTTCAACATGATTTCATTTCATTTCAGGCACTGCCTGAGAAAACTAAATTACAGAATCAATCATACAGAAGGTCAGAGTGAGACTTCATTACAAGTATTGCATGCTTGCATGAATATCTTTCATTTATGACTGACCCAATATGTCACAATAGCTGTCTAGTAAAAATAATCCACTTTCTGAAATTGATGTACTACTGATGTCAATGCTACTCAGCAGGCTGGGCAGATTATAGAGAGGTGTTAAAAAAAAAAAAAAAAAAAACCAGCCAACCCTTTGGAGCGCACGTTGTAGATTTTTAGAATTGCAATCTTTTGTAGATTAAAATAATTTCCAGATGATCATCTGAACTGACAATAATGCTTAGAGGTAAAGATTTTTCTAACCAAAATACACTGCTGGCTTTGACTTGCCGACCACATCCTGTTTGAAAATATACACATCCGCCACAAGCAAATCAAGGTTGTTCTTTGAACTCACAAACGCATCGACATTCAATTTTTCAACAATTTGCTTCTGACTACGAGGGCATTATTTGCATATTTTGAAATGTGAATGCTAATCATTGGGCTCTTTTTAATCCCTCCTTTTTGTTCCTGCTTTCTGTTTTTAAATATGATGGCATAAATTTAAGGAAGATAAACACGTCGTGCTTGTTGCCAACAAAAATGCAGCTAATCAGTAATGTGACAAAACTGTCAAGTCTTTCTAAAGGAAAACCAATGAAGCTCTGAAGAAAAGCTGGTTCGATACAACATAAACAAGCTGGCTTTTCTTCTTCTATGAGAGTCTTAATTCACCACAGCAAACCTTAACAGACAGCCATATTCATTTGGATAATAAAACTTCTTACTTGCATAAGGTATGAAATATCCACTGCACACTGGGAAGCCGAATGCATGATGTATAAAGTATTATTTATTATTTTTCTGGTGACCTTCCGAAGGGAAATCTCTGAGGAGCTGCTGTGGAGTATTATGATGTAGCCAGCCAACTCGGTACCCGGAGGGAGATATAGAAGAACCTTGACATAGCCTATTTTTAACCATGCCTCTGGCGATTCTGAATTCAAGTTTATAGGTGAACATGTCAGGTAGTACATAGAACAAAGCCAACGACACGTTGTATTCATCATAATTCTGTCCAAGTACATTTTATTTTTTCCAACATTTGTGATTTAAAATCCCATGACATTTCTTCAAGGTGAAATTCTGCTAGAATTTTCAACAAGATTAGTTTGTTTCAAGCCAAAATAAATATCACTCAGGTTCAGCGAAACTTCAGAAAGGCACCAATAAATGTGATGAGGTCCATGTAAATACCATGACAACAGCATGCACTTAGCTAAAGTACTTATACCCTTAAAAATCAATGAAATAATTCAACTGCTTTAGTGATTAGCAATACATTACAAAAGAAGCATTAAAAATTGAGTCCTCTCTCCCAAGGCCAGTCCGTGAAAGCATTGTTCTTTAAGTGTATGTGAATATCATAATTATTTTATGATTCCATCTTTAGTTCTTTCCAATATAGTAAATTCAATTGACCATGAAATGAAATTTCATAGTCAAAATGCCTCCTTTACACTTTTTTATAGCAGCAATAACAGTTTTATAGCTTTAAGGCAAGGTAATTCATCAGATGTTTAATTCAAAGGCAGATTCTTATATTATTAATAAATATTTACCAATTTAATAAAATACACATTTTAGCACGCATTATATGGTCTTTTGACTATTTCTGCAACTTCCATCGGCCTTGCTGAGCATCTATGAATAATGGTGAGCCCTGGTAAACTCCCTTGGTGACTAAACACCCTTTTTTATTTTTATGACTTTCCAGGCACCGCACTGCAAGCCTGACTGTAGAGGAACAGAGGACAAGAACCCTCCATTCCAGTGTCAAAGGGACAAAAACGTAAGGAAGTCCACAGGAAACAATTATCTGTGAGGGTGAGGAACATTTATGAATACTTAATGACCACTTCCTGACTGCTTGCTGCTTCTTTTCTGACAAAAAAGGAAAACTAAAAACCCGATGTTCAGCTCAAACACAAGAGATCACAGGCAAAAGAAAATTCTGTTGCATCAATCCTATTTGGGAAAGCAATCTTACATTTCAGAGAGCACGCGGAATCTTCACAGCGCTAATCTACTACATACTTTGCAATCATCTGTTGTTATCTGGGGAATTAACAATGAAACCAATAAACATCATTGGCGTGGTCCTAACGTGCAGAGAAATATGTAAACAAGCAATAGGATTTGTTTTTTGTTATACCAACACATCTGTTTCATTTTATCAGGGTTAAAAAAAAAAAAGCCCTATAAACTATTAATCTTGTTTTAAAATGTCTGCTTAGTACCTCACCTAGATCGACACAAATGTATTATACACTATGATGGGGAAAAAAAAAAAAATCCCAGCAGAAGAGTTTAAAATACTTAAGCAGATTTACTCTGGCGATTGCTGACTATAATTGCACACTAAGAAAAATGGAACCAAAATTATTGCATTAGTGACCTTGGCTCTCTGGAGTGCCTTATTCCGTGTTTATGACAATAAATAACACAATTAGGTATATTTCACACAATAACTCACTCTATATTTTCCTCTGCTGGTTATAAGAAATTATTCTTCTTCCCTTTCTCCGTATCACAGTTTGAGATTTCATTTGAGGTAGGAACAGAACATGTACCATAATAAACATCATGTCACAATCCAACAAATGCAAAAGACCTCGGCACCAGATAAGGGCCTCCATTTCTCAAATCTCTCCTGGGCAAACTTCTAACTCGAGGACATCTCTGTGGTAAACCAAAGCCAAGGGAAGATTGGCTAATTCCAAGCCAACGAATCAGACTTGTTGAAAATCATTTCAAATCGGAAGGATCTTGCTGGGTCATCCTCCTTTAGGTGATCATGAACCAACCCATAACCCTCTTGTCCCTGCACTGAAATGGCACTAGGAAGAACAGTCCTCACGCCCATCAGTAGATAGGCGGAGCACGTTTCAGAACATAGACTCCTGGTCTTTACCATGAGAAGTGCAATGATTAAAAAAAAAAAAAAAACACTTTCAAGCAATAAATGTAGTGCCTACCATATGCAACCCACTGCTATGAAGCACGCCATCTTGTTCCACGAGATTTCTTGAGATTGTTATGGAAGGAAGATCCAGGCTTTGAGGGGGAAACTGGGGTGTGAATTCACTTCCCTGGGAAGGCAACGGATCGCTGAGGCCTTGAAAGGGTAGAAGAACATCGGGCATGCCCAGGGCAGGGTCTGATTCTGGAGGAGGCGTGATAGGGGGGATTTCAAACTCCTCATCCCCGAGGCTTGGCGTATGGAATGTCTGCTAAAAGGAAACAAAACACAGACATCTTCATATTCTATTCCTATATCTTATTTCTCCTTGGAGGGAAGAAGAAAGATTTTGCATGAAAACACGGCATAGCTAGGCCAAATATTTATTTCTCAAATGAAAACATCTTAAACACAGATTTCCATATATAAAGTTTTGCTGATCAGTCTGATTAAAGATTTAAGTCTCATTATCATATGGTTTTAATGGAGTATCAGTATTAACAGTTTTTTAATGCGTACTTAATTAGCAACATCTGTCTTTGTTGTTAGTTGGAGCATCAGAGACATTAGATTTGGCTATATAACAAATTGCCACTTTATTGATATGTTAGCGAAACAGCTCAAACCGCTTACATTATCCACATGCTTCATAAAATGCTGACGATTTTGTGGTGCACACACACAACATTAATCCAGGAGTGAACATTACACATGTTTACTTTCTGCCACAACATATAAAACAAGTAATATGAAATTGGTGGTTTGCTTTTTAAAGTTCCTTATGGGTATATTCCCAAGTGCTGAGAACGCTTCTATGGAAATTGTTACAGTTCAGAATACAAAATTTTACATAAGGATTATCAGAGCATATATTAAAAGGTCCCAGTGCTTTTATTTTAAATAAAATAAAAAGGAGAGTTAAAATAATAAGGGGGACTTATTCGCTTTTATGATGATTTTAATGTGTATCTATCAGAACATTTTTAGGAGTCTTCAAGTCTGGAAGACTATAGAATGAGCACAGAGATACACTGATATACATGTACTAACTGTACTGGCTCATTTACTTAAGCAAGTGTTATCTCTCAAGACCTAAGTAAATAAGGACCTTAGATCCTTAAAGACAGTGTTTTAAAACGGGGCCTTTTGATGTAAATGAGGGCTTCCATGTTCTATTACACCAACCACCTTTCTTAAAATAGAACTTAGATTGGTGGGGGGGCGGGGGGCAGTAGTCAAGGTCTAGGGTATTCTTTTGGGTAGGGTGAAGGGGTCAGATATTCTTTCTAGCTCAGAGGATCAAAGTTATAGTTCATTATTAGTACCATTTTTTGAAGAATTAACCGGTGCAAGTTAATTTGGATCTGCTGTAATCGGTTAAGAGAACTAATTAAGAATGGAAAACCATCATTCTTCGAACTATCAATGATGATACATAATAACCACTTGAGAGAAAATAGAAACAAACTGAAGGAAAAAAAAAAAAAACATTCTGTGCATATACAACCTGTCCACTGTTAATTGTATCTCACCAGAAATAAAGAGGTCACAAGCTATGGGAGTCTACGGTGGGACAGGTGAACACCTTGAGGTTCTCAGCAGATTCGGTATATGCAAAAACATTACAGCACAAAAACATGTCTGAAAGCTAGAATGAAGTATTAGATTCTCTGACATATTTATTCTAATATTGACCCCCCAAAAGACGTCAATTTCTTACTGTGGTGCCCCGAGTTCCCAAACACAAAGGGATGGATTGGCCACAAACGTGGTTGGCTAATGAACGTAACCCTATGGCTGCATTTGCCGTTATTTTGGCACTAATGTGGTCTAGTAACAGATGCAACTGTAATTTGTGACTCATTTGCTACCCCATTACTGCTTAATGAAATCTAACATATCACATTAACAATACGGATAAACACTCATTCTTGATATGTGGCATTTGGCTGTTTTCATTACCACTGTAATTAACACTTGAAATATTATTTCAATAAATATTTAAAGTACTTTAAAAATGGTCAGGGTAATCATGACACAGACAGAAAACATAAAGCAAATGTGTGAATTTCCAACCCAGAGTATCCCAGTCCCTGTGGCGTTATCTACAGGGCAATATCTATGTGAAGGGAATTGGTTTCAGGCACAATTTCGACTTCACAGCATTCAAACCTAAAGTCTTCCTGAATTAGTTTGCACTCATTAAAATGTTAAAAAACCAAATAAATTTACTTTTAACGCAATGATCGGGAAATTAGGCACATGCTGTAACGTGGCGCATTAACATTTACTTGGGCTTTATTTTTTGTTCAAGATGTACAGTGAAATCATGGCGTAAGATTAGCTCTTAAAAACTCTAACATAAAGCACGTCTTATGCTAGGCGGTCAAAATTAAGGAGGCTTTCACTTTTATTTTCGTTAAGGAACAGAGAGGTGTCTTACGAATAATGTGTCCCTATGGAATAATTTTTTCAAAAACAAATTAATTTTAAGTTAGAATTGAGTATATTGCTGGAGCATAACCTAATAAAGTGACATTATAATAAATCACCAAGAAAATGCTAAAATGTTAAACCACTTTTAAAAGAGAGGTAAAGTTAAGCATTCCTTAGAGAAAAGAGTAACCCCAAACACCGGAAAAATCCGAGATTATAAAAATAACCACGTCTGGCACCAGTACCAACAAAAAAGACACTGACTTTTGTGACTCCGCCATCTGACCGCTATCAGGTTAGTCGTTCGGAGTCTATAGTGATTACTTTTTACGGATACTGGCTTTTCAGTGTTTACCTTGAACATGTTAAAATAGTATGTACATGGTTAAATACCATCTGTACTGAAATGTTCAAAACATTTGTTCCTTTTGATAAAAATGCAAATCTGGAGAACTGTTGTATCAACATATAACAGCCAATGTCTGACACGGTGAATTATCACAGCTGGAATTAAATTGTCTCTGAACAGCTGCTGGCAGTAGAGCTTTCATCAATGTTTGATTCAAATGTAGGGAAAAAATCCTACAGAATGAAACATCATGTTGTCCTTACAGATGGGGTTTGTGTTCATTATCACAAACAACACAGCAGCTAGTGCCAGACAATATCCCTTATGTAGGCGGTCTTCTTGGTTAGACAGATGATGGCCACTGCAGAAATGATTAATCTAGGAATACCCTTAATCCTCGCTTCCCCATTTTTCTCTAATAATTTTGCAAACTTCATTTCTTTCATACCACTTGCTTCCCTGTACCAAGATCATTTACAAAGCCATTATGATTTCCATCCTCTGGGGTCAGGCTAGTTCGGTTTCCTATATGTGAACGTACTTGGAAAATGAAGACTTTTTATTACGGGGACCACAAGAGGGAATGTTCCATTTGGACCAATTTCACCTGCTTGTTCTTGTTCTAGCATCTTAGATCTCACCGTTTGCCACTTGTGAGGAAACCGTTTTCTTGATCTAATCAAGATGGAGGTTTTTCTGGAAGGGCAGGCCAATGAGCTCAGACAGCAGCCCTAGGTCAGTGAGTAGGGAATGCAGTAAAAACAGCAACAAGAAGATGTTTGTTTGTTTGTTTGTTTTTTCCATTTGTACCAGTAAAGCTGTAGACAAACCTAGAGCCATCATCCAGTCTTCCCTGCTATGACCAAGTCCTGGAGCGTGCCCTTTCACTCATTCCATCTCTCTGTATTAATTGAACACCTACTATGTGCCAGGTACTGTAATGGTCCATGGGGATCTAACAAGAAAACGAAACACTCCCTTCACATCACTCCCACTGAAGACCCAAGAAACTATAATACTATATTCCCCCACATCATTTCCCAAACCATGGCAACTTAATGAAATTATCCCCAGAGCTTTGTGGAATTGAAATACTTTCTATTAAAAGTCTCTTCCACCCCCTAGTTTTCAAAATAACCACTTATTTGCTAAGATGCCAATTTGGAGAGACAGATTTTATGTGCTGTCTTACATATTTACTTTTGTTGGCATGTACATTTCTTTTCATCAAGAGATGTGTGTGAATTACTAACGTTCCTAACAGCCTCCGGATAAGTGACAGTCTTGTCAGGTCATTTTCTTTTCCAAAAGGTTTTTCTCCTTCAAAGTCGTTACCTTGCACCACATAAGAGAGATAAATTTGATACTCTGCTTTTCCCTTCCAGCCTTTTAAATGATCCAAATAACACACGAAACGTGAACGGACGCATGAAGACAGACACCTACCTCACTGGCTGCAAAGAAAGCACTGTTGGCCTCAGCCATGTTCATGTAGTTATTGTTGTTTCCAAACTGAAAGAAAACAGATTGTTTTACGTTAATATGCAGACAGATCAAGAATCCCGGTGGTGTGCTTAAAACTCAGATGGGATTTGTAGAGAATGCTAGTGTCATGAATTAAAAGAGTAGTTTCACTCAGACCAAATGTGAACCGTGACAGGTTTTGTGCTACATGTAGTCCGGCTGCTTCCCTCAGAAAATAAAGCAGAGAGTCAAGCTGACTTGAGAATTCTGGGAAACGGGGTTGATTCTCACCAAGACTAACAGCGAAGGGAGACCATGACGAACCTCTGGCCGCCCGGTCACTAGTGGGTGTTGTTTACTGAACTGGCATTTGTGAGAGAGGAGAAGGAAAAGTTTCCAAGAAAACCACCTTGACACATTTTTACAGCATGTTGAGATTTCATAGCTCACTTTTCAAGAACAGATGTCACGAGTGTGAGTAGGTTAAGATGTGAATTAAAGGGAATAGAATCCAATTCCCAGGACTCAAATTCTATTTTCTAGCGAATGGGGTGTGGCATGAATATAAATAAATAATAAGACTAAAGAATATTTTTCAAATCTCCAAACAGAGTTGAAAACGATATCTGTATCCATCAGAGCTGTTGAAAACAGTGATATTTAATCTCTCGATGTAACATTAAGTGCAAAGAGGCTTAAAATATAAACGGAATCCTATGAACACAGCAATTTTTATTTAATTCCCTAACACAATAGCCCATTCATACCATCACAAATAAGACTGTATCAGCATTTCAGACGTAAGCTCTTTACTGCTAGAGACCTGTTATCAAAAGGTAAAACTTGGATTTTGCCAGAAATGTATTTTCAGGTTCAGATGGTATAAGGAGGCGCGTTTTGTTGCTTTAAACATTCTGTTATCAGTCTGGCAATACGGAAAGGCTCTGTGAGCATAATTATCTGGGGCTATATTATTTTCACGATTTTATGAAGTGGTAAAAGAACGCCCTTCTTTTTGTAACGTGTACTGTTTCTTTCCTTCAGTGCATCAAGTAACACAAAGGTTTGGTCTGCAAAGGGTGAAATGTATACATCCATTCTCTCATGTAAATAGAGCTATCAATTATTTAAACTAAGAGGCAGGGAGCCTGGGTGGCTCAATCAGTTAAATGTCTGACTCCTGATCTCAGCTCAGAGCATGATCTCACAGTTTGTGAGTTCGAGCCCCGCGTGGGGCTCTGTGTTGACAGTGCAGAGCCTGCTTGGGATTCTGGCTTTCCTTCTCTCTGCTCCTTCCCTGCTCTCTCTCTCAAAATAAATAGACTTTACAAAACATTTAAAAATTAAGTAAAAGGCATAACTTCCCCAAGGAGAGAGGGAGAGAGAGAGAAAAGAAATACAGATACACAGATAGATAAATGTAGAGAATAAATATAGACACATAGATATGGAAGATCCACATAATTCTCCTCGTAGTAAACCCACCAACACTTATTTCTAGGGGGCTCTCGGCCCCTGACTCTGAACCTGTAGGATTCGTGCACAGAAGCCCAACTGACATGCTACACTTTATCATGTCAGGGATCCAAGCACTAAGCAGGATTTACACAGAAGGCTCTAATGGTTCCAGAGTGCTGTTGTGGTCTCCGGAAGCAAAATCCCACCCTGTAAAACGACTCCTAAATACATACTCACACAACGAGCTTCAGATTCATTTGGATAAACATCTTTATAAGGATTTCTGAAAGACGTATTTGTTAGCACTTAAGAGAGACCTTTACCTAGTTTCTCTGAAGGCACGGGATATCCAAAACGTGTGGGGATGGTTTCACCAACACATACTTACACATACATACATACACCAAGGTGCATATACGTTATATAGGTACCGCTTGTGGTATGCCCATCATATCTCAATAAAACGGTTTTAAAATAATTTTAAAATGAAAAAAGGTACCTGCGTGGGCGGGTGCGCACGCACCTGCACCTCCCGCCCACACACACAGACACATTTCCCCCCATTTTCCTACGACATTAAATGCACGCAAGCAAAAGCACAGGTTTCTGTCTGGGAATTTTTGATGAATTAATGATCCTAGAATTAAATCTCGGGGCCTCCGTTCTGACTATTCTTTTTGGATGTTTATGAGGACTTCGGTCACCATGTGCCTTCCAGGCACTGATTCCATGCCTCCCGCAAGCGGCCCAAAGCCTGCCACCCAGCTTTAACGTTATTTAAATGTACGTGTTGTTGGGGAATTAGAAATCCATTTAAGGAAAGCAGCTCATTATCAGAGAGTACTTTTTTAAGATTAAACTCACTTATTACCTAATAGCACCTAAAACAACAAAGAAAAATAAAATGGCTATTAAACTAAGGGCCTAAACAATTCAAAAAACAAATTAAGCTTAGAGTAAAATAAGAACTGGGTTAGAAATCCTCTTCTGAACAGTTAGTATGCGAATGTAATTACTGAAGAAACTACAGCTAATCAGCTGTGAATTGTATCCATTAATTAGTATTTGCCCTGGAGAAATGAGAAAAATCAGGAACGACGCTGGCACCGCGGTGTGCTGACGAGCCACGCGACGGCCGCGCTGCGTGTAGGCAAGCAGGTGGCTCCAGTGGTCCACGTAATTTGAAAAGCTCTCACCTGAAGTACTGAGCTGGAATTACAAAGCACTCCTTGCATATCTTTTGTATCTATAGCAGGCCTTAATTAATGGCTTTTAATTTGGAAACACTTGGCCATTGGGCGGGAACAGTTATAAATCATTTCAAATAGAAGCAAGGGTTGCCGTTCCACTGGGGGTAACGTATCTCCCCTACAAATATGGCCTCAGATACTGACTTGTGCAGGGAAGGGTCTTTCTCTTGCACAGGTGGCTGGGTGCCTGCTTGAGCGTGGTAGGGTGGCTGGATAAAATACAGGCTGTCCAGTTAAATTTGGCTTTCAAATACACGACTTTCAAAGTGTAAGTATGTCCCATGCACAATTTGGGATATACTTATACTAAAAAAAAGTATTCTCTATCTGTGATTCAACTATACCCCGCTATTGTGTATTTTTACTTGCTAAATTTGGCCACCCTACAGCATCGTTAAATTGATCAGGATGACAGGAATGCCACTTTCCATTTGATTTACCTTATCTGGTAACACTAGCTTAATTTAATTTGCTTTATTTTAAAATGTGACCTATGAATCCTGCTTTACTCATTTTGTGTAAGAACAGATCTGATTCTGAGAGAAAAAGTGATCCTTTGGGGGCAGATCTCTAATATAATGACCTCAGAACAATTAGCTTTAACTGAATTGTGTACAATTAAATTTACTTTACGTTCGAAGAGACAGTGACATCGGTAAACAGAATATATTACAAAAAAATCCCTAGGTCCATGAGGGAAAGGGCCTTCACTGTGTTCACTGCTGTCTCCCCACAAACTGGCACCAATGCCAGGCATATTAGAAGCACTCCAACACTTGCTGAAGAGAGAGGGAGGGGGAGAAAGGTTGATCACATTCTAATTACCCTGAGAGGCCTTCTACATACATTATTTCATTTAACTCTCCCAAGCAGGACTAAATGTAATTTATTTTCCCAAGAACAAGTTAGAAAAAAGGAAATTATCCCTATTTTATAGATAAATAGACTGAGGCTTCAAGGGGTCCATGCCCCAAATCACAGAGGTAAATACTGGAGTCTGGTACCCCTCTTAACATTTCAATAGGCACGGAACCTTGAATATTTCACTCAGCGATGAATTCAATGTTAGAACTTGGTTTTTATCCTCTCACTCAAGGCTACAGTCTCCCAGGAGGTGTTTCCAGGTACCTAAGTCTAGCAGAATGCTCCTTAAGAAAAGAGTTGCAGGGGCGCCTGGGTGGCTCAGTCGGTTAAGCCTCTGACTTCAGCTCAGGTCATGATCTCACAGTTCGTGGGTTCGAGCCCTGTGTCGGGCTCTGTGCTGACAGCTTGGAGCCTGGAACCTGCTTTGGATTCTGTGTCTCCCTCTCTCTCTGTCCCTCCCCTGCTTGTGTTCTGTCTCTCAAAAATAAACATTTTAAAAAAATTTTTTTTAAAGAAAAGAGTTGCAGAGTTGCAAAGCCCATAAGTTTGAGAAAGGCTGCAGACTACCGCCCCTCTTTTATGAGTCCCTGTGCCCACTACACCAGGCAAACGTTCCAAGAAGTCCTGCAGCTCATTCATTCACAGCAAACACTTATTTATGTGCCTACTGTGTGCAAGGCACTGCGTTAGGCTCTGGCAACAAAACGGTGAGAAAGATGACAAAGTTCCTACCTGGACGCAGCTCACAGTTTTCTTTGAGTGGGAGATAGCAAACCTCCCCTTTCCCCCCATATTTGCCATGGGACACCTCTTTTGGTTTCTCCCACAACAGTCTGCGGGAACACTTTGGGAAACCTTGTTCCAAACCCCTTATTGACAATATTCTTTTACTTTCCCAAATACTTCTTACAAAAAGCTAACATCCTCATTTTGCACCATGGTAAAGTTTACGCCTTTTATGAATCACCTAAATAAGAATTTCTAAATTACTCATTCTGGGCTTTCGTAATTTGGCAGACTTCCAAGTTTTCTAGGTGGTAGCTCTCCACTGATGTTCCTTTGAAGATCCCCCAGTTCAGCCACATTAAGATTATTTACCGTGATTTCAGGAGTCAAAACAAAATATTTCAAATCAACTGAAGGAACGTCAGGTGAAACAGAGTTACCTACGACGGAGAGCACGTAAAAACATTCCTTAATGCTTCTTTCTTAAGAAACAGACCAATTCCAAGTGTTTCAAAGAGCTTACACATTGGGGGAATGGTCACTGCGAGGCAGGGGCATTTATGAAGTACACTGGTGATGATCGGTCCTTTCCACTTTGATAGGCTCTAATAGATGTGATCCCCAAAGATATAATCCCCAAAGATATAATTATAAAGCAGGACGGAATTACTCTGCATGTCAAACTTCTGTATCTTAATAATTTCACAAAAGCACATCTTCATTGTACCTGGAGGTAGATTTGCT